CTGCTCCTTGCTCCCTCTGCCCCACCCATGGGGGCCTTCTGGTTGGATTTGACCTCAGGGTCCTTGCACATGTTGTCCCCTCCTCCAGGTGTTGCGTGATACCTGCTTGTCCAGGCCTCCCCTCGGAGAAGCCCCCAGCCGTTGTATCGGAAGCCCCCGCCCCATCGCTGCCGCTTCTGCTCAGGACCTGTCGCACCATAATATGGTTTGGCTCTGTGTTCCCACCCAAATCTCATCTGGAATTGTGATCCCCACGTGTTGAGGGAGGGACCTGGTGGGAGGTGACTGGATTATGAGGATGGTTTCCCTCATGCTGTTCTTGTGATGGTGAGTTCTCGTGAGATCTGATGGTTTAAAAGTAGTTGGCAGTTCCCCCCTCGCTCTCATCTCCTGCCACCATGTAAGACGCACCTCGCTTCCCCTTCACTTTCAGCCATGATTGTACGTTTCCTGAGGCCTCCCCAGACATGAGGAACGGGGAGTCAACGAAAGCTCTTTGCTTTATAAATTACCCAGTCTCAGGTAATTCTTCATACCCCACAGTCATAAAGTAGTGTTGTCATTGTCTTCATTTGTGCACAAGGCCCTAAAATGGAAGTTTCCCAAGGACACGTGGGGCTGCCGCGCGGTCTCTGTACCGGAGTAGGGCCTGGCAAGCCGCAGATGCTCAGGGAATGAGGAATGAGGGATAAATATGTGAATGCACGGCTACCCCGGACACGGTATTCCAACTCCTATTTGCACTCCCTACCAGTAGCATGGCCTCCTTAGCATACATTCCCCACCCTGTCCCTAGAGTAGATTTTTAAAGCACAAAGTTGTTTAAAATCCCTTGAAGCTCCCTTCAACGCCTGGGGGTTAAGTCCAGATTCCTGAGCCTGGGGGTCCAGGCCCTTCACAGTCAGTTTTACCTCCTTCCCAGGGTCCTCTCCCCATGACCTGTGCACACTTCAGCCCTGCCAGCCCGCCCAGGCCAGGGCGAGACCTCCTCTGTGTCCCTAGAGCAATCTGTCACCAAGCTCAAGGCTCCTGTCGAGTTTTTTCTGCACTCCTCCGAGCACAGGCTCCCATGAGCCCCTCCCACCCCTGTCTGTCTTTTCTCTCCTACCCACCCCCTAGCTCCGTCCTGCTTCCAGGACAGTCAGCAGCGGCTGTCCATTTCCCCCCTGCCAAGGGTCCTGTCCTGTCAGGGAGGTGGAGCTTCTGCAGGCTTACAGAGAAGAAGGACCTCCGGCCTCCTCCTGCATTCCCCAGCCTCTGTCCGGGCCTTTCTGTGGAGGGAGCACAGCTCCGTTTCTCACCGGTAGCAGACAAGTCACCCCTCAGCGCTGCCTCAGCATTAAACATCTAATGCAAGTCAGGAGCCCATTTTCCATAACACACAGAAACATTGCTGTTTCCAGGAGTTTACTGCCCTCTAGGCCCATCCATTGAACTCTGGTCATCAGCTCTTGGGGTCTTGGGGCATTTGATGGTCAGTGTTATGCATCCACTTGGCCAGGCTCTCGTCCCCTGGGATTCAGTCCAGCACAAACCTAGGTGTTGCTGGGGTGGTACTTGGTAACTGTGGCTAATGCCTAAAGTCAGTTGATTTCAGCACAGGATATGGCCTTTCTTAATGTGGGC